TGGATAGCAGATCTCTACTTCACTTGCATTGGAGTTGGAATTTCTATGAAGTGATTAAACATATAATGATACCAGTTGGCAGACATAAATTGTTTAATAAGGTTTAATAAGATTACTGGGCATAATCTGTATCATCATTCATATAAACACATTTGCACATACACGAATTGAAACATGATATAATGTAGCTCAACTTTAGATGTAGAACCTCCTTCTGTGAAACATCAAGCAACAAACTTAATACCCTGTGGTAGCACTTCAGCAGAAGGACAAAGCCTTATCATTTAATGCTGATGACTGCATTAACAGATCAGTTCATTAATTTCCCTGCAAAATATGCCAGATTCTACTACTAAGTGATATATCTAGGAGATAACAGAGATTTCACAAAAGCGACCACATCAGTCCCTGAACTTTCCTTCTTGCTCCACTAGTTATTAAATTTTCAATACAGGACTCTACTTAAAATTTTAAAAGTGAACAATCCTACTGAATTTATATAGACTTAAAAATTAAGCAAATATAAGTCTGCAGAATGGAGTTCAGCAGTACACAAATCACCTTCAAACTTAAATGAACATACATGATACAGTTTGCATCTTACTCCTTACCTCAGCTTATATAAATTAATCTCATTTTTCTGCCACATTTCAAAACATTTGTCAAGTGCGCTCCATTATATTTATGTGTTACACTGGACCTGCAATAAACAACATGATTTTTCATTTAATTATTAGATGACATGTTGTTCTCAGAATATAGCTGGGCGTTGTATGCCAAGTGCCAACAGCAAATAACACAGGTTCTTCCTGTTCTGGGAGAAACCAAGTAGGAGCATCTTCTTATTTGTTAACCTAGACTCTATTAAATAAAATGTATTTACATAACTATTAGTGGGACAAATATTCACTCAATAGTAATTTCTTATATTTCTGACTTGACTCCTTAAAACTCAAGTGTGTAAAATCAAGAGTAGCTAAGGACATGAACCAAAAATCTGAACTGTTTAGCAATTTTATTACTGCTTATTATTATTAGACTTTGTGTTTTAAATTGGGAAATGGAAGAACTGCTTTAAGTTAATGGTTAAGATACCATTGCTTAACAGTTCAGACACAGGAGCCCAGCCTAACACTTCCAGTTGTGAGGTCTCCTGATGTCCATTATAGGGATTTATGACTTTAATAGTAAACATACATTTTTCTTCCTACAGGCTTCAGTCTTCCAGAGTGCACTTTGTCATTTAAACAGCTTGCTTGCTAAGCATGTTCCTCCTTACCTAGTAAGAAGTTTGAACCATACCATGGACTGCATTAAAAAGATGGTTGCTAATTTGACCTTGTTTTATCAGAGAAACTACACACAGTACTATTAATACAGGTAACAGAACTGCTGCTCTTTGTTCCTTCCAAGCTACCTTTCCACCTCTAGATTTTACATCTGAGATACATTTGAATTAAAGTTGCTCTTATTTGTTACCTTGGAAAACCCTCACAGTTGACTTGTACCAAGAAGAGCAAGAAAGCAATATGTCTGCAATATATGAAATATTGAAATGCAGCAGATCTCAAACTGAAGGGCAGCTTTTGTCACAAAAACATTTAATCAGTGTGGGTGATTTTATCAAGGGTATGCTTAGCCATGAGTGCTGTTGGAAACTGATGAAATAATGGATCAATAAAAACCTCAGGCTTTGAACTAAGTGCTGATTTGTCAATCATGCTCACAAAGTTATTCTGAAAAAAATGCAACTTTCAAGAGTTGAGGCAGCAGAAGACAAAGTGGAGGTCTGGATGTATGAAAATGAAAATGTCATCAAATGTAATCTCAGAAAATGATAGGCATGTGTGAAATTATTTAAGGAAAAGTTAGAAGAGAAATAAAATACGTACTAGGTCATGGCACTGGCTAGTGTCACAAAGTGGGATAAGGACACTGAGCAGACAAACAGCAGAACACGAGTCATGCAGACAAGCAAACAACAAAGGTCAGCAAGGCCCAAACTGATGGACAGTTCATGGAAACAAAATTAGGCTGTACTAGATAGAAACTTCTGTGGAAGGGTACAACCAAACTAAGCTTAAAGAGGGAAGAGGACTCGTAAAGAAAAGCAGACAGTATCATAACATTCTTGATCTCTGTTTTGATACTGAGACTAAAAGTACCAGCAAAACTGTTACAAAGATTCGTAAACCTGAAAATTTGCAGAAATTTTCCTTTTTGCAATGATTTTAATATAAGAAGTTCATTTTGATATCAAAAGTACCTATTTTTTTAGGTTCTCATACTGACCTACTCTCAAAGTATCTAAGATTTTAAAAACCAAGGTACTTTCACAATCATGCATATTACAAAATATGAATTAATTAATGCTCTGTGATTCTGCTATATATTTTCCTGAGGATTCAAACCACTTCAAATAGTTTACATTTCTTCCTACACCAAAACCACCAATGTACGGCACATATTTTACAGCAGGGAGATTACTGATGTGTCTAAGGTCTCAGAACAAGTGGCAGAGAACTAGGGTCAACAATTGTGACTCTAATGCTCTAAAAAATGCTAACAGCTTGAGAATTTGAGACTCCAGCTTTTACACCAAAACATAAACCTGCTTTAAAATGCCTGATGCTACCAAGGATAGGGAGAGGGAAGAAGAAAGCAGAGTATATGCGGTGATTCAGAATGAAGAACTAGGGATTACCTCTCAAATTTCAGACCTGCTATTCCCGGCAGAAATACTTGGAAGAAATAGGAATACTTGATAAATTAACTGGCCTATGTGCACATTCTTGTGCCACAGTAAAAAACCCACAGCATTCATACGTATTCAAATGTTTTTAAAAGCCTGTATTAGAATATTTTCCAAGACTAAAAATACATACATTGATTCCACCTGCATTTTGATCTGCATTTAGGTTTAATCAGAGCAATAGTTTTGTCATCTCAGTGTTAACCATGGCACTAACATAGGCTTTCAATGTATGACTGACCAGTTCCCACAGAAAGTAGAGACACTTCATTTACATTATCAGGCATCTCTCTGAGGGATGTGACCACAGAGGAAGATCCAATGTAAATACAGTTATGCTGGCATGGATGTTTTTTTTTCCTGGTATAGCTCGACATGCCAATCTGTTATTAACTCTGCTGGAAAAGCACCTGTGCCAGTATAACTGGTTTTTGTGGGACAAAGCTAGCTGGTATCTCCTGCTGTACCTGGCGTGGCTCTACCTTTATAGGGATTACTTTCCTGTATTTCCACGGGTGACAACTCATTCCACCCTCTGCTGGACAGCCAATCTTGGCAGCTCCTCTCATGGCACTAACAAAAAAAAAAAAAAGCCAAGGTGTGGCAAAACCTACATCAAAGTTCCTCTGAAATTCTGAAACGTTTAAAAATGTATTAATTTTTTTTAATTTTATTTTTATTCCGTCTTGTTACCACATTTACAAGCCATTCCCAGCACACACCCAAGACCCACACCGTACCCAGGGGAGGGGATACCCGGAGCCCGCTGGGCAGGCGGAGGTGCCAGGGAAGCTTCCCCCGCGGGCCGCGGGGGAGGCCCGGCCTCAGCGGCGCAGCCCGACCCCCGGGCGAGGGCGGCCGGCGACAGGCCCGGCCCCGCCGGCGCGGGAGGAAACGCCCCTTCCTTCCCTCCCCTCCCCTCGGCGCCCGGGCCCGCCCGCTGGCAGGGCCTGCCGGGGAGCGGTAATTGCCGTGCCGGCCTTGCACAACTCGCCACCGGCGCGGCGCGGCCCGTCCTGTCCTGCCGGCGGCGCGGGGCCGGGCGGCGCCGCCCCCTCCCGGCATCCCTCGCTCGGCTGCTCGGCTCGGCTGCGCTCGCTCGGCGGCTCCGCGCTGCTCTCGCCATGGCCGCCTACAGCAAGTTCCTCACCGCGCGGCACTCCGCCATCGCCGGGGCCGCCGCCGCCTGCGCGCTGCTCTGCCTGCTCGGAAAGCGGCGGGCGGCCGCGCAGCACGGGTGAGCGCGGGGCCGCGCCGGGCCGCGGGGCGGGAGGGGCCGGGCGAGCCGCGGGGCCGGCGCTGGGAGGCCGAAGCAGCGGAGCTGTGCTCGCCCTCACGGCTCTGGGCCCGGCCGAGGGGCAGCCCTGTGCCACACAGTGGGCGCTGCCACCGCCGCCCTGGGCACGGGACTCAGCCTGCTTCCCCCCGCGCCTTCCCCGGCGGGAGGTCGGTGCTCCTCTTGCGAGCATCCAGCCACTGCCGCCTTGTTACCCACATTATATTGGCTTATTCTATTTTCTGGACTAGGAACGAGTATTAATACTTCTAGGGATGACCGTGTGTGCATAGGCGATTAATGGACTCAGCTGTTGTTTGAATGCTGCCGTGTGGCAATAAGATACACGAGCAGTGATTTCAAAGGGGCCAAATCCGGTGGTGTTCCCTGTGAGGTTGCCTTACAGGTATATGGTGCTAGGGTGTGTATTTGTTAATGCCCTAGAAAGCACTGGTACCGCAGAGTGTGGCAAATGAAGAATGTATCGCAGGCTCAATCCTTTCATGGTTTTACTTTATTTGTGATTATAGGTTGTTGACTATATGCTCAGGACCTGGTATGTTGTGATATTACAGTTGGGTATCTTGTACGCACTACAGAATTATACTGAAATGGACTTACTCAACAGACTTAAGTAATAACATACCTGAGATTAAGCAACGATCCACTTTTATTTTACCTAATTCCATTCATGCACAGTATCTGTAAGAGTCTCATGAAATTGGGTAATTGCCATACAGCATGGCAGACTGATTGCTTACAAGTCATGCATTTGCTACCTTACATTGTTTTTTGCATGAGAGTTGAAACAGGATCCCAAGCTATGGCTACAAGTTTCTCTTCTATCAAACTCATAGGGAGGAGTGATTTTTTTCAAATTTCTCTGCCTAAGTTAGTGAAATAAACTTAAACCAGAAAAGCTGTAAGGAAGGGCACAAAAATGTTGAGCTCAGATTTTCATGCCTGATATAGTGGTATTTGTAAGAAATACTGGGTCATGAAAGTATTTAGGAGCGCTTATATGTTAAGTCAGACCAAGAGTATTCTTTTAAAGAGGATCTTAATTGTCCACACTTGCCTTGCTTGGCCTTCATTGAGGAGCACACAAACCAGGTTACATTCAGATTGGAGCACATCTGCAAATGTAGATGCAGGTCCAGTGTAGTTTTGAAGTGCATTTAATATATTCCCACTGTTAGTAGCATTCATTTGATAGAAGCAAGCTAGAACTTGTCCGGAGTAATCTCCCTATACCTGAAATAGATATTATGTGGGTCCTGGGTTGTCCCCATTAAACTGTTTTGCTTTCATGTCCTCTGATGTTGATCTGCAGGACTTGACAATGGCAGCGCATGCATTAGCTTGAGCGTCAGTGTATGGAAAGTAAGTGTTAGCCTAAATGCTGAAGACTATTTGGAATGTGTCTTTCCAATGTGGATCTTCAATTTTGCTAGGTATAGTGTTAAAAATCTGAGGTATTCATGTATATATCTTAGGTGGACCAAATATTATTACAAGATTAGTGGGAATTGGGAAGGGGGATAACTTACGGGTTACATTCCACCGAATTCAGCAGATGTGTGGGCTTGTGAGAGCCTGATCTGATCTGTCCCTTTTCCTCTCTGTACTGCAGTCTTTCTGATACCTTGTTCTTTACTTCTGTAATCTCTTTAGTAATTTTGCATTCTTGAGTTTATTAGAAATACAGTTGCTAAAGTAAGTACCATGCTTGCAAACTTGATTTTTTGCTTGTGTGTATGTGTTGTTTTACACTTTTGAGTCCCTCCACAGCTTAGGTCTTATTTACTGCTGGTACTGTATTGTGGCCATGGATTCCAAACTCTAACATCCAACATTCGGTTGTTTCAATAATAGCTGTGCTGCTGCTTGAATGCTATTTTGAGGATGGTTTTTGCCCACTGGTCTTCGTTCTTTTCTCCATGTTTCCCTGTGAGGCAAACCTTGCCAGGAGCCTTACAGAATGCTACCTATCAAGACTAGGCAGTAGGTAAGCTACATTGCCTATATCACCAGCCTAGACAAAAGCATCTGGTTATCACCATTGCCTCATCCTCCTTTAGTCTCATTAGTTCATGTATCATTCATTTCTTCATGGTTTGTTGCTAATGTAAATTATGGCATACTTGTGAAAAGGATTGTCATTGTGCCAAATCTTTGTTTTCAGCATTCTTGTGCTGATATATGAAGCTGGCATATAGTAACAAGTGCACAGCCTTTGAAATCTGCAGGGCCTGGTGTATCCTTTAACATCTGTGTTGTATATCACTGACTCTTTGGTAAGAGGAAGAAGTTGGAAAAGCATGGCTGTCCTAAATTTTTGTACTTATTCCTAGGGAGAAGAATTTCACTTGGCAATCTAGGTAGTCTGGAAGAGGACTGGTAGCGTATCTGCTGCTTGAGGTTAACTGACTAAAATACATGAGGTGATTTAGTTTTGTGTGTGTGAATTCCTTTGTTAACCTTGGTGTATAATGCCTGAAAATGTTGTGTCATGTTAGTGTGAGGTGAATTTCAACTTCTTGAATTCTGGAAGGTGAAATTCTAGTTTTGAGCTGTGTAAGGGTAAAAGTAAATGTTGCAGACCAGCAAAATACTGGGCTTAATATCAGGTGAATAATTGAAATGTTCTACTGCAACTGTAAACTTTACCTGCAAAACTTCCTTCCTCACTTAGTTTCAGAATACACACTTAGACATACTTTGTGTTCAAAATAACATTTTGTGTTTTCCTATTATTTTATTTTATTCTGGAGTAACTGCCATTTTTCTGTTTGATTTTGTGTGCTTTTTTAAGTTTTGCTGGAATGTCAGCAATAGGTCTGCTGTTGGTTGAACTTGGAAAGTAAAGTAACATATGAATTGAGAAAAAGAAAGAACCTTTTAGCAAATCAGATGTGTTTGAATGTTTAACAAGAAAACTGTGTGACAGGCTCTTCATGTTGTATGTGTTTGTTTTTATATAGAATAACCTGTTACAGGCATGATAGCAGGAAGGAGAGGTAGCAACTTTTGCCTACTTTTCTGCTGTCAAACAATAGGGACAAGGTTCAGTACAACTCATATCAAGTAGTCATGTATGAATAATTAAGCTGTATGTGTTATGCCAACCTGCCTTACTAGGTCAAAGATCACTTAATTAGTACTGCCTGGATTAGTCACAGATGTTGTTCTCTGAGAGGTATTACACTGCTCATTGATTTTGCAGAACTGAGAGATGGTGTCACTTGCAATTTACAATGCATTGTTACCACAGCTTTCTGACATCTTCCGAAGTAGAGTGATGTGAACTGTTTGCTTATAGTAACTTGTTAGCGTTCCGTCTTACTTCCTTGGAGAAAAGCATGGGGAAAAACACATTGGTTCTTTTTCCAAGTTGCTCTCAAAAAATTTGTTTCCTTACAAAAGCTTTGTGCCCACTTGATAAGGGGAAACTTGTTGTATCTAAATGTAATTATGACTTCGATTGTAGTATTTGGATTTTTTAGAGTCGTGAGAAGTTCTTTGAGAAACTACGTGATACTGGGTTTATAATGCAGAGAAAAAGTCTGTTTATTCTCTTACCCTAATCCTGCCTCAAACAAGAATATTTGCTTAAGTTTTGATTGCTTCAGAATTAAAACCTTAAGGGGTGTTGCATAAAGGAGCTGGATATTTTGCATTATCCCTCTAATGAGAATTTTTCCTGAGTATCCATGTAGTTTAAAATAAAGTACTTGCAGAAGTAGAGAATGAGCTTGGCTTACTTTCAAAAAGAAGGTATTTAACTCATACAACTTTCTGCTGGAAGGAGGGACTGAAAGAAGTAATAAAAGGTAATTAAGAGTTTGAAACTGCAAGATTAAGGAAAGGGAATAAACAGTTTAGAGTAATAGGAAGGCATTTGTTGTGTATAGGAAGGTGGAAAAATATTTTAGAATCTGCTCATAGGCACACTGGCCTTTCCTATCACCTAGCTGCATTCATTAGAATCCAAGATGCTAGGACATGGACACAATTTAATATAAACTGAACTTCTGAAAGCCCTGTGATGGCATCCCAACTGCGAGGAAAAAAACAAATAAAGCAAGAACAGTGCATGCTTGGGGCCTTAAAGGTTAGGCAAACCTGAAGTGAGGGAGAAGGCTCATTGAGTGGAGAGAGGTCGAGTGCATAGTGTATATCAAATAGGGTTTTGCACAGTTCATCTTGGGTGACATAACCTGTGCTTCTGCCTGTCACTGTGCTCCTCAGCCATTGACTGCTGGCAGAGTGGCAGCACGTGTCACTCAGAAGATGTCGCTGCTTATGTGACCATGCAGTTTGACAGTGATAGATGTGCGGTCAGACAGTGACTGACGAAGTGCAGTCAGAGGTGACAGATACGTCCAAATGTTCGGAGGCACTTTCAAACATAAAATAGGAGTTTAAATAGAGCAAGTGGTAGTTGTAGCTTGAAACAGGTGGTGCATTTTTATTCCATATGTGTATACTTAGGATGTTCTTCTCTCTTGTTAGTTTGTGTAATTTCTCTAGATTCTGAATATGTTTGGATGGGCTTTGCCAGTGAACTTCATGTGGAGCGACCAGTTCTAGCTGAGTCGTGGCTGTTTGACAGGAAGAGTGAAATTATATTGCTGCAGATTAATAGACTGCTTTTGTATATGTAAAAGCCTTAAAGGAAACCTGTGTTACCTGGAGGAAAGGTGGCAGGTAACAAAAACAGCTTTATGCTAGCTACATTGAAGTAAATTTATCCAGGATGTCAGTGTGACTGTCCTACTTGTACTGCTTGCAGTAAGCACACTAGCGTTGGGGGAAAAAAAAAAGACTAAATGTACAGATACGATTACTAGAAAATAAATTGAATATGCAGTCTTGTAGAAAAACTTGCCTGGGGCTCAGGAAACCTGTCTTTAGCTGGAGGATATGGAGACAGGAGAAACCAGATGACTCAGCCCTAATCCTGGCATTTAGACTAACTTTGTTTGGGGCCTGGCTAGCTAATTAGTGGTTTCACTCTTAATTAAGTTGCATAAAATGCTTGCTGTCTAGAGCAAGATCTAGTGTAACAGTGTAAAACTTTTTAATTTTTTAGGAAACTAGCTAGAAATCTTTTCCACTGTTATCCATGAGAGAGATCTGCAGCCAGAGCTCAGGCCCAAGCAGGGTATATGCTGAGATTTTTTCTTATAAGTAAGATATGTTATTGAGATGCATTCTTTTACTGAAACTTTGAATTTAATTTCTCCTCCCACAGTTCTGCTTTGTTATCTTTTTCTCAAAAGTTTGTAGAAACTTTCTGAGCTTTAGCAATGCAGTGCAGTAACGTAGCTCTGTGACCTTCTCAGTCTCCTTCTTGCTTGCCTGAATACATTCCCCTCACATTATTTTTGGTTATGCTGCAACTAGCCACCAGTCTAGAGCCAAGAAAATTATGTTCTTGCTTTCTGTGTGTTCTCAGAGTGTACTGTGTAAATGGGCATGCTTTTGGACTGTGCCCAGGCTTCTGAGTAAGGTTACTGCCCTTGACCTGAAATAACTACTGTTGCTCTCTGCCCCTCTGTGTGAGATATGCACTATGAAACTCTGCCTGCCAGTGGGCTACATCAGACTTGTCTCACTATAGCTGTTAGTTCTTCACCCTGTTGCATTGCATCTTTAGTTATTTGAATTTTATTCTGTCTTTACAATGCCTCAGTAGTATCTTGACTCCAAAACTGACCTGAAAACTGCACAAATAATCATAAAGTATTGCAAAATTGTTTATTTTGTGTGTTTTTTGGAAGCTGTGAAAACTGCACAGTGCCATTCCAGCATGTAAGGTCTGCAGGGTACAAAGGTTGCCTAGAAGTAACAACTCTTTGAAATGCTACACTTAATCCTAAACGAAATATTCTTTCTTTGCATTGTGTTGAGCAGAAGCAAGTAATCCTAACTCTACAGAAGGAAGGTAGCATGACCTGAAATTTGTAGGTTCTTTTTCAGTTAAGGACAATGTAACATTTTAAAGCCCTTACTTCCTCATCATGTGTCAATTAACAGCAAGTCTTGCTTATCAGTCTTCATCTGCAATTCCGTATTATGCTTAGCTCAGTGTGGATTGCTTCCTCTGAACTTTGTTCTGGATAGAGACAGGTATTTCCAAAGACAGTAATTCTTTAACTTTTTCCTGTTTGCTAGTAAATACCACAGAACTAATATGCCTGAGACCTTTCAGTAAGAATACTCAGGCCTCTTGAAGGCTTTTCACAGTTTCTCAAACTTTCTTCTTTACTAGTGTTGAGAATGAGTCTATTTGAGTAACCGGTATTGTTGCACATTTCTTTAGAGAGAATAGCTTCACCGGTATGTAAATAGTCAAAAGAGAGAGTGCTCTGACCAATTCTTATTTGGAGACTGGAATTGCATGATTTCACCCTTCCCACTGAGCTATGATACTGCCCTTGAAGTTGGATCAGCTGTCAAATCCCTGTACAGAGTCCTGAAACTCTATTAAGTTTCTTTAAAATGTCTTGCTGGTTTGGGCTCATCATGTTTCTCAGTGTAGGAGAAAGGTGTTTTGTTGTATTGCCTCATGTCTACTGGGTAATTACTTGCCTATTTACTTCTCTTTAGAGAGTTGCTGTTCAGTTACCATGAATGTATGAATGACAAGTTTGGTGGTGTTGTGTCATCCCAGGTACTGCTGACACCTTTCTCTGCTTTTTATATCTATGTTTGCTGTAAAAGCCCTGTGCAGTTAAATAATGGGTAGCAGGCTACATCTGAAATGCTGCTTTTCTTGAAACTTCCTCAGGTGATGTGTGTTTCATTATACCTCTAGACTCTTTATGTTCTTAAAGAAGTTTTGCACATTGAATTCAGACCGCTTTGTTGAGTAAGATCTTGAAAAAATATGGTGACAACTTCTGCTGTTTCTGATTTACTATAAGAAATGTTTTATTACTGTATTTTTTCTTTTTTTTTCTATATGTTGTCTAGATAACCCTTTTCAAAAACCTTTTCATTGCCATCCCCCGTTGTCTGTGAGGACATGAAGGAACAAAGGCTCTCTACCATTTGCACTGGAGAACTTGACCAGCGTGTAACACTTACCTTCTTCCACCACTGAGGCTTGTGATGCTCCAGCATTAAGTAAATGAGAAGTGTGGAATAATGGAGAGCTTGAATCTATTCCAAGTGTTAGTGCTCTCTGCTGTAACCAGATAGTCTTGCTGTATTCTTGCTGACTAATTGAGGATGTTATTAGGCTTTAAATTCATTGAGGATGCAACCACCATTCTCACAAAGTTTTGCAGTAGTACAATGGAGTCTGGAGTAGTGCCAATAGGTATTGGCCTGGAAAGGTTTTATTCCAGGCAGAACTATGGCACAGTCTTTATTTGCAAATAAAATGCCATGTGGGGACATTTAAATTTTTTTTCTTCTAGATTTCATATTTAAGATTGTTTCCATTCTTTTTGAAGTATTAGTCTTGTTTTGAGCTTGCACAAATTTTTCTAGAAAAATGAGAAAATAACACTGTTCAAGCTCTTTTTTTATTGGATTTTAAATTTTAAAATACTCAGTTTTTATCTTAAATTTTATAAATGCTAATTAAACGTGCGTTCGCAATTAAATGTAAGATCTTGATTTCTGAACAATCCTTCTTTCTCTTTAATGGATAATAAGTTTCAGCTCAGTAATTTCAGCTGCTCAATTTCTCTGAACAGCTATTGTTGGAAAAATGTATCAATAAATACATCAAAGATATTCAGCTAACTGCCAGAATAATTCTGGGCCTTATCTTCCTAATCCATTATTCTATTAATATATTCGCTTCTGATCCTTTTAAAGTTGAAATAGTTGTGTATTATGAGTGTTGTGACTTCAAACATTGGCAGAACTTGAAGCAGTAAAGCTTATAGGAATTATTACAGCATGTGTGGACGAGCAGCATGCTTTCATCTTACATTATGACAAGTCATGAATCATCTAGAGAAACAACCACATACTTTGATAACTACTTATTCATGCTTAAGAATACTACTTTCCTCCTACTGCCAGACCAAATGTGATTGGACTAATCCATATTCAAGTCTTAAAAATATAGGTCAACCTTTTCTACTTCTCAAAACTACAAGATGTTTTGAGAAGTTTCTTGTACCAGAAATATATTGTTTTTGCATCACCAGAATGTAGTCTCCTACTAGATTGTTTCTTAGTTACCTAAGTAACCCTGTTGCCATTTTCACAGATGTACTTCTATCACAGCCTGATTAAATGTTATATCTCTTCTGAACTTTCATTATTTTCCCCCCAGTCTGGCCCCTCTGCCCTTCATATTCTTTGTTTTGTCTTTTGCACAAGTAGTCTTACAAGATTTTTATCTTCTCTCAGACTTCCGTCTCTGTTACCTTTAATTAAGATCTTGCTAAACTGGCAGATCTCCCTTCTTGCTTTCATGGTCTCCTTCTTCCCTTCCTTTCTCAAATTCCTCTGCTACCTTGCCTCTTCCTTTCATAGTAATTAAGTTATTTCTTTTCACTGGTCAGTGACATTCATAGACCTTTCTAATCATCATCAATTAAAATAGGCACAGTTTCATTCTAGCTGTTTTCTTGGCAGAGCTTTAAAACACAAGTGTGAAATGGTGCTGTTGATGTAGTTGTGGGATAGCTGGTTGTGTGGCAGTCTGCTCCTGTTTTGGTGTTGTAGTCTGAAGGAGTAGTGCCTTTCATAGTTTCTGCTTTCTTGTCGTTTCCTAGGTCTGCCTTGTAAGTGTGTGGATGTTGTAGCTTTAAGGCAGCCTGCTCTCAATGTTTTAATAGCATGGTTAAGAAAATTGCAGTTTAATATGGTTGGTGGCTACTTTTAAACCACATAAATTCTCCAAACAGCTTCATGAGCTTGTCTGATGCTTGAGTGTCCCAAAAGGAGGAAGAAAGACAGAAAAGCTGACAAGTAAGACAGTTTGTCTTAAAAGTAGAGGCAAAAGAATTGCATTGTACTTTTGAATGTTTGTTTAGCACCAGCTGATAAATATTATTCTACTAACTGTTCTGTTAAATGCAGGGGAAGGAAAACAGACTAAAAACTAACTTCCCTTTTAATGGACATCTTTGCAGGAACTTGATTTCACAGGAGCTGGCTTTTTTTTCCCCTGCAGCACGTGTTTATGAACAAATAATCTCTCTGTGTAGTAAATGTGTTATTTTGAAGTCAAATACAGTGTGAAACAAATCTGGTGTGCTTATGTAGATAATGTGAAACATCAAAGTTGAGGTGCTTGGATTGCTGAATCTGCGTCCTTGTTGTTTTCATTTGTGGTCAGTGCAACCATGTAGCCATGCTTGTAAAGTATGTGTGAGAAACAGAAAAACCCTTGGAGTTCATGATAGAGAGCCAAGGGAAAGCAGAACTTGGAGATGAAAGAGTGAGACTTGGTTTTCCTTCGTGAAACTGGTTGCTGCAATGAGTAGGGTTTCACTGGAATTACACATGCTGTATAAAAGCAGCACGTAGATTTGACATAGAAGGTAGCCCTGCTGAAGACCTTGTATTGCTTTGAAAGAAATAGGTGGGAATATAATCTCAAGATTTCCTCTCTGTCTTTTGTGTGTAGAGATCAAGACAAAGAAAAATGTATTAATAACAAATAAATACTTTTTTATTTTCTCTGCAGTAAAAGAAGTGGAAAACAAGCACTGCAAAACAATGAGGTAATTCTTTCTTCATGTCAAATATTCTTTTTTGATTTTTTTAAAACTTTAAGTACTATGATTGTAGTTTACTCTTTCCTGTGGCACAAATAGTGTTTGAATGATACTTTCAGACTTGCATTGGTGAAACAAATGGAAGAATCAGGTTAATCACGAGAGGCTGAAGTTTGACTCCGTAGTGATGGATGCTTGATGTGCACGATGTCCTTTTTTATCTCTTACTGCCCTATGAATGCCTATGAAGTCTTTCTGTATAGGTAAAGCAAACAGCTGTGTGTAGATTTGGTATAACTTGTATTTATTTTTTATATAAAAGAAAAATGTATGGAACAAGATGTTGTGTCTGACAGTTTTTAAATTAGAAACTACTTCAAACAGCTGATAGGAGGTTTGGCATTTCCCTGATCTTTTGTGTGTCTCTTAATTCATTTTTTTGAAAGGGTTATACTAAATCCCTTTAGCTAAGGTTTTTGTTTCATATTCAAATAAAATATGACAGACCAAAAGGCAGTCTGTGATTCTGGTGTTACAATGAAGTGAATAGATTCCATTTACCTTCATCTTTGCTGAAAACTTAAAAAAAAAGGCATGCACTGGATAAATAGAAAGGTGTATGCAAGCATCATGTTGGCTTCTAGCACACCTTGACTGTATTATCTACCATAAACACTTATCTTCTGGATAGCTATACCTATTTGTAAAAACCTTAACTATCTTTATCTTATTCCTACTCATGTTGGATACATGCTGAATGGGATTAACAGTCCAAGGGGAAAAAAACTTCTAGGAAAGAAGATACTGAAATGAATATAAGTGCAACACAGAAGTATAGAAATGGGGAAGGGCTGAATAAAGGAGAAGAACAGGTTCAACTCACATGTGTTTGTTTAGTCTTTTGCAATTGTAGCCATCAGACATTGTGTTAATAATTTCTATTACAGGGCAGCAATAATGTGTGTAGAATCATGCTTCATTAGGACTGGACAGTAGTCCTAGTTGTTTGGATTGCTTGGATTTTTGTGTAAATAATTCTTAATTAAAGTGTTGTAATCATATACTGCATAGCATCCTATTTGGCTAGAATTTTTATTCATAGCTTGTATTCATGTAGATTTTTGAAAAGGATGGGACTATTGTTGACTTTATGCTACGAAAAACAGGTGTAGGCTTCTTCACAGAGCATTCAGAGTGGATCTTTGTCGACCTTGCAATGTTGATATAGGCATTGATAGCATGGTTCCCATGAGCCTTGTAGCAAAGCTGGCAGGATTATTGATGGGACAGGACTTGTTCAAAGTACACATGTGCCCTTTTGGTCTGTTTTCAGGACTGAATTCTTCTTCATGTCCTTAAGTGAAAGGAAAGAAAAGAAACCTGGACTATTAGCTCTTAAAAAGTATTCAGGTTAGTCAGGAGAGAAGATAGGGTTATGTGGAGTGAACAAATGAAACTGACTCAAATAAAAGGTATTTGGGTACCGAGGGTTTATAAGTCTGGTGGATATATGTAATAGTGTGTTTCACCATTTTGTAGAAGTAAAGCAATAAAAAATTCTGATTTCACTTGAAGCAAATTTGGGCTGTACTGTCAAAGAGTTTAAACTATTGATTGTTAGTAATGGAATAATGGAAGGCATCTTTAAAAATACCAGCTGATGGTGTCTTTTAGAGACAAGCAATGTTAAGAGATGTTTGCATTACAACTTGGATGTACTTTAGTGCTGTGGTCTGCATTGTTTGTATATCATGTTTAACTCAGAATTGAAATAAAAATACTTTATATCATAGCAGCTACTTCCTATTGCAGTTTGTTTCTCTTTTTAACTTGTCTGAACAAGTATTAAGTTGGTGGTAAATATTGCAAATTCTGCAGTAGGAAGGTAGCTGTAAATAACTTGGCTAGAGAAAATATCACATCAACAGTTCAATAATGCAAAAAATTCTCACTTTTCTTGTTTTGTTCTGTGTGCAGCAGAAAGAGGGAAAGAAGGAGCGAGCAATGGTGGACAGAGTGTTTATTGCACGAATATGTCGAATCCTGAAAATAATGGTCCCTAGAACACTTTGCAAAGAGGTAAGCATTACCTGCAGCAATAAATAAAGGAATAAAGCTGGAGTCAAGTCTCTTTCGAAATTACATCAGAATTTAAACAGCTGCATATACATTACTTAAATAGAACTAAATTGTGCTAGGTATTTTAAAATAGCAACATAGGAATATTAAATTTTATGTTATGCTCAATTGTTAAATCACTAAAGGTTCCGGTTTCAATTACAAGATAAGCTGTTTACTGTCAGCTGATAACTACTGTTGTAGCATAACTTTTAAAAGGAAACTGGGCTTGTCTTGTACAAGGCAGTACACTTCTGTGAGCAAGTGCATCCTATCTTTGAATAGAAGCAGTTCATTCATTATTTTGATTTAGTAACTTGTATCTGGGCCGATTCTTGGCAAGACTGTGAGCAAAACTTCCTGTAAGCTAACTCTGGCCACACAAGGGACAAAAAAAGTGATTGCAAACAGCCTGGATTTACCAATGACAGATCATGCCTTACTGACCTGATTGCTTTCAGTGATGAGAGAACTGACTCTGTGGATAAGGGAAGAACAGAGGATATAGAATACTTTGATATCAGATCTCTCTTAATACCCTGATAGCCAAACTGAATTGGCTGGATGAATGGACAGTGAAGTGGATGGAAAACTGTCTTTGCTGTTGGTCTGACTGGTTACTGGTGGCCTTGTTTTGGGTAGAGAGTTGAAGCAGATGGTGTTCAGAGGTCTCTTGCAACCTTGTGGCAGGAAGATGTCTCAGAATAGCAGTAATTTCTTTGTTCCTGCAACCATCCATCTTATGATATGTGTCCAGTATATGTATCAACCAAATACAGCTTTTTAAAAGGCAAACTTGCACCATAAAAATGTAGTCAGTACTTTATTAAAAGTAATGTATGTTAATGTGTTTCCAGGAAAGTAAGCAAATACTACATTAGCTAGGACAGCAGGGTAATACTTTTCTGTGAGATACAGTTGGGTGACTTACTGGAAAGAAATGGTGACTTTTAGCCATTATTTACCTGTTGCACTTCTGTGGTTGTACCAGACAGGTTATTTGCTGCTAATTGCTGTGATGCTGGTAGTCCGAACTTACTGTGATATTTGGATGATTCAAAATGGAACAGTCATTGAAAGGTATCTATACATTTGTTATTTTTAAACATTCTCTCATGTGTGTAACAGGGAAAGTCATCTATCAGAATACATATTCAGACATTTTATAGCTTGCTTGTTGAAAACTGGTGTACTTGCAATTTGGGGAGGGACCACTATATTTTGGTAAATAAAAATAAGATGTCATTTATTAAATTATTTTTGTTCATCAATAAAATAATTTTATTAAATTAATATTTTAAGCTGTTTATTAAATATTCATTTGGTAACATTTTGTACACTGACGACTCTAAATCTTGTAGAGCCGAATGTCCAAGAAGGTACTTCAGAGCAGTGGTTTTATGTCTTAGACTTAGACATATTGTGTGGATATTAGGACTTTTATTTCTTCCCACTGAGCTGTTTGCTCTTTAGATTGATAAAATCAATGCTTTCAGTCTTAATATGTTAGAAAGTGGCTTCTAGACCTCCAGTTATTCTCACTGGTCTTGTTGCTAATTGAAGCAAATCAGAATGTGTCTTGAACTGTGAATTCAAAATGATACTGTGTTTGAGGAGAGACATTTGGTGCTTCATAGAATGTAAGGACTGCTTTGTTTCTCTTGTGAGAATCTATGAAGGCAGAGAAGTGAAAGAAGTGGTGAATTCCGTGCCCATGAATTTCTGAGCCCTTAATGTGGGCAGTTACAGAGGAGCAGACAGGAGGCAACTGCTCAGTCTTGCCACTTTGCTTACTCCAGGGTGTCAGACTGAATCCTAGGGCTGATGCCACAGCTTTCCATGATGATGTTTTTTTCTCTGTGTGGTCCCCTGAGAGCTTTTCCATTTAAGACATGCAAGTTTATACTTTGTTGTTTCTCTTGTAACTGACTCTCAGCTGGTGGTCATTTACAGTGCTATCATTGGCCGCAGCAGAAAAGATTTCAAGAAATACTTGTTCAACTTCATTGCTGCAATGCCTGCTGTAAGTGCTTTTCTTGTGCTGACCTATTAGTAGAACATATTCTAAATGTTAATTAAGGTTTTGAGGAAAAGGTCTCAAAGGAGTGTCTTAAAACCTATGGAAATTAGTTGTTTTACATACGGGTCTATATGAAAAGACATTTAATTTTCTGGCTCCAGTGTGTGGGAACCTTCATCAGCATATTTCCTTACTGGTAGCAACTATTATTTTAACAGATATGTCCAGGTTTTCAGGTTAGTTTTGTTGATGGCAATTTTGGCTATAGGTTTGGGATTCCTTTGGCACCATTGTAGATGAAGATTTTTTTTAGACTTGAATTTTTATATTTCTTAAGATTTTTCACAGATTTGTTATGCTTTCTTCCACACTTTAACTTTCCTTCAGCTTGTTGACATCTCTGATCTGCACCAGATAGAAATAATTGCTACTACCTGGTTTGCAATAAATTGTAAAACGAGTTGACAGATTTAAGGCAGTGATTGTCAAATGGTGGCTCTTTTCTAGAGTTTATCAGGAGAGCTGAAAATATGTAATATGAATTTATTTTCTCTTAAGTGGTGAGATCCACTGGGACCTAGAGACAGAAACCTAAGCAGTGGTCCTGCAGACACTGTCTGATTAGGTGTGTTTATGGCATTACTGACTTTAGGGGAAAATTGATCTGTTTTAAAGTGTTCACACAATTTATGCTGCAAATTGATCTAAGTGTATTTGATCTTGTTAGTTAAAATTGTTATCTCTTATTTTAGATCTCTTTAGTGAACAACTTCCTGAAGTATGGTCTAAATGAACTGAAACTCTGCTTCCGAGTAAGACTTACCAGATACCTCTATGAAGAATATCTTAAGTAAGTCTATAATCGACTTGTGTACAGTTTTTAAAATTTGATTCAAGTCACTTTAAGTATATATTAAGAAGGTTGCAGTTAACTTGCAGTTGAGGGTGAGTGGCTTATCAAGGTTGTTTTTGCCATAGATACAAACAGAGTAAAGTTGGCTCAGTTGGCTTCCGTGATTGGGTCAGATTCCCAAGTACTTCAGGTGCCTTAGGGTGGTGAAGGCTGAATTGAAGGTGGATGCATGAGCTTGAGTAGCTCCTTCTGTCCTTCTGCACTGACTTTTGGTTGTCAGATGTGCTGTAGCAGAGTATGTGAGGGTTTTCTAAGTTCAATAGCAGCATAAGCCTGAGCTTCAGTTCAGACATCCTGGAGCCTAAATAATCCTGCAGCATTTAGTGTAGATTTAGTCAGGTAAAAGCACAAGCTATGTTGATTCCATGTAGTAATTTAATGTTTGCACTGCTTAGCATCTCAGTTGTATGAAGCAAGAGTGTTCCAGTTATTTCAGATCCCAGGTAATGATTTTTTTTTTTCTGCCACTTAGCAATTGTTTTGTTTCAGAACTTACACATACTACAAAATGGGAAACCTGGACAACAGAATAGCTAATCCAGATCAACTCCTTACACAGGACGTGGAAAAATTCTGTAATAGTGTAGTGGACCTGTACTCAAACCTTAGCAAGGTAAGTCTTTTAAGAGGTAACTTTGAGTAGTAGCTGTAGACATTTAGGATGGGGATGTCAGCTCACAACAATTATGTTCATTTGGAGTGTGGTACTGAAAGAATTGTTTATGATGCTGTATTGTTTCACACTCATTGTGACTTTCATGACCAAAGCACTGTTGTGAGTTCTTATAATTAGTATTAAATTTTCTTTTAAAGAGCATACAGCATTCTTTTGTAGATGAACAGTGATGACTTTGCTCTCTCAGGTAGATAGTTCTCAGAAGCAGTGGCTAGCTCTCAGTTACACACAAATACTGTTTTGTGTAGGCAGGTGTGGTTGAATAAGCTTTTCCCTGTTTCTGGTGTGAATTTTAAGGTGATCAGGTAGTGAATGAGAGTATCATTGACATTTTTGGACAAAATTTTATTGTTGCTATGTGTTTCATACAAGCTGAGTATAAATAAACTTTGTTCAAAAACTTTTGACTGCAAAACCTATAGTTCAGCTGTTTTAGTGAGGGAGGTTATAGAACTTTGTAATGTCTTCCTATCAGGTATCTAGCCAAATACATGGCATTATCATTTCATTCAGTATTTCTCATAATTACTTCAGTTAAATTATTGTGGGTTCTAGTCCACCTTTGATAAGTAAGCAGAGTGTCGTGACAGGCCTAAATAGCAAAGTACTCTTTTTGTATGGTATGTATTTATCTGAAGATCATTGTTTTTATGTTCAATTCTTGAGCCATTGTTTTCGGAAAAGTCATGTGGCTGAGATTCCTTTTGTCTTAGCTTTTAGTTTGGACAATAGACTAGCCAGTATTTTAGCACAGAGCTGTAACTGTTCTTGGGGTGGTCCATGGCTTCTGGACTGTTTTAAATTAGTTTTGTGTTTGTGTTCTAAGGCTTTTTTTCTATGCTTCTCTTACAGCCCTTCTTGGACATAGTTTTGTACATCTTCAAGCTAACAAGTGCAATAGGAGCACAGGTAAATTGAGTGGGTTTTTTAAAACTATAAGCACCTTTTCCCTTCTTTGGTTATAGCCTTGCAGCTATTTGGAATCTGAGGAAAGCTCTAGGTGGTAGTTGTGGATTCCTCCGTTATTTGAAGGGCTTTACTGAAAAGATGCATTTACACTTAATGTTTTCTGTGCTTTAGCGCCCTCTACTTTGAGGCAAGCAAAATAAAACCCAGTCTTTTCAGGCATTTGATCAACAATTTGAAGGACCAAGAAAGTTCTTTTTTTTCTTCTAGTACTTTTTTGGAAATCCTATTTAGTACAACATCCTTTTGACTGCTTATTTCTTGCATTAATTCCGTTTAAGAGTGAAAATAAGTTTTCTGTTTCTGTGCAGCCTCTATGAAGGGGAGCCAGTTCTTGCATTGAGTGTAAGACTCAATAATCTGAATAATCGCAGAATTAATTCTTCAAATTGGTGAAATGATGCATTATCAAAAATGTTCAGGAGTTGAAAAGGAGTAGCTGTAGCTCACATGGTGCAAATTTTGTTGAGATAGACTTGCAGTGAGGCTTAACTAAACCTTGGTAACTTTATCAGTCTCAGATGTCTTTGTTCTGCTCTCTGTAGTAGTCATTATCACAGCTCATGTCAAATTCAGTTTATGCCATTCCACACTTCAGTAGTATTTAATCACCTGTCCTTTGTCTGTGGAAATTTAGGATCCAGGACTGCTTGAGAGACCCAGAAAATATGTATAGATAAAAGTGGACAGTGGGATTGAAATATTGACTGCTGTGTGACAGTTCAGCAAATGTAAAGGAAAATAAGTAGGCAGGAAGGAGGGAGAAGAAATGAGAAGATACCAGTAAATCATTAATGAAATAAGCTAGGACAGTAGGGGACAGGTCACACTGGGTGGTGATAAAAACCTGAATAGAAAGCTGGGGTGGGAAGGACATCTGGGGACAGAGAATTAGTAAAATTAGTAAAGTAGTATCTACAACACTGAAGAAGGTGACGTGATGGGAATTGCAAATGTAATTGAATTGGCAACATAGGCACGTAGGAGTTAATAGGTACACAGGAATTAAGGGATTCGTGCTTTCTGGGCATTTTGGATACAGATACTGTCACTTGAGACCACCTAAGCTTTTATTCTTTTTTGATATTCACAGGGTCCAGCCAGCATGATGGCATACTTGATTATTTCAGGGTTTTTCCTTACACGTTTAAGGAGACCAATTGGCAAGATGACTATTATAGAACAAAAGTATGAAGGGGAGTACAGATATGTCAACTCACGGCTCATTACAAACAGGTATACACTTGCTTGGATGCTAAGATATAAGTGACAAATCTGTGGGGTAAATGAAAATTGTGTGTTAAAATATACTGGGGAAGTGTGATGCTATCAGGTCTTAGCCAAGTGTTTGCATCTTTATGTACTGTAAAGCAATTTGTATGTGCATTATATTCCATAGTTGAGGCTAAGTGGGGTATAATAATTCTGTGTTCTACTGTTGTGAAAGAGTACAAACCGTTATTTCATAAAGTAACTGAAAGTGCTATATTCCCATATTTTATGACTGACTCTTGTCAAAGAAAAATGAAGTTGCATTTTTTTTGTTTATTTCTTTTTAGTGAAGAAATTGCTTTTTACAATGGAAACTTGAGAGAAAAACAGACTATTCACAAGACTTTCCGGAAGCTGGTAAGCCTCTTTTATCTCTTAAAACATTTTAAGCAGAATGTAGTTGCATCATACTGATTCTTGACATGTGTTCATATAAGTTCATTTACACTGGCTCGGTGTTTTTGCTGCTACATTCATTAGATTAAAAAGTTAGCTGGTAGGTTATAAGCAGTACAGAAGTTTCTGTTAGAATGGCCTTTCTCTTGCCACTTACCTCCTTTGTCACCCACCCTAATTATTGCTCTCATTATTTAGTTTCATATGTAGGTTGTTTTGATCACAAATGCAAGTCTTTGCCAGCAGGGCATCTTGTGCAGTGCTTACCACACTCAGAGGCATGTTAATGTATCTAAAGTACTGAAAAAGAGCTCTTTGGAACCAAATGTCTAATAAAAGATAGTAAAACAGGTACTGGTAGAGTTTGAACTTTTTTTTTCTATAACTTACCAGGTGGAACACTTGCATAATTTCATCCTGTTCCGGTTCTCTATGGGTTTCATTGATACTATCATTGCCAAATGTAAGTGTGTGTCAAGTGCTAATGGATTTCTATAAAAAACAAAACAAATTTTTACATAAGAAACGTCTTTTTACTTACTGTTTCAATTAATGTGTAAACTAATATTTATTCTTAAACTGCAGACCTTGCCACTGTGGTTGGCTACCTGGTTGTTAGTCGTCCATTTTTGAACCTGTCTGATCCTCGACATCAGAATAGCACTCATGCAGAACTTTTGGAGGTAAATAGACCAGAATTCAAACAACCTCTAGATTTTAAATTTTGTTAGTCCATGTAAAGAAACTTTTTTCTACTGTAGGATTACTACCAAAGTGGAAGAATGCTACTGAGAATGTCTCAAGCTTTGGGCAGAATAGTCCTAGCAGGCCGTGAAATGACAAGATTGGCTGGGTAAGCTTAATAGTAAGAATCTTTCTCATCTCAATTTCGGAAACTGATCGTAGAATTAAAATAAGCTCATGTGCTTTGTTCCTTGCAGTGTACCAAAAATTCAGCAATTAAAAACATTTTGTGCTGAAAACACATCTGAAGATACAATAATTATGTCCACTAGAACTTTCACATCTAGATAGTACTAGCATGCAGTTTGAATGTTTGGTTGAAACTTTGTCAAGTGCTCTTAAATCACTTATGTATTTGATTATTTACCAAAGTTACATTGTAAGAAGTAAAATTTGGCTATTACAGAGAAAGGAAGAGTAGCTTGTAAATGTGGTGTGTATTAGACACCATGGTGCAACTCTGCAATGTAAACATTCTGCTTCTGTTCTGGTTTTAATAACTGTCATTTTAGCAGTTTGACAGAGTGCTCATCAGAGCTTCTATCAATTTTTTTTCCTTTTTTTAAGTTTCACAGCTCGAATCACGGAATTAATGCAGGTTCTGAAGGACTTGAACAGTGGCAAATATCAGCGTACTATGATATCACAAGAAAAAGGTAGATGTGCTATAATATGTGGGCAATATGTGCCTCTCTGTGTAGCATTTCAGTCACTAATACTTTTTTCTTTATTTAAGATGGAGATAAAAAGCAATCTTTGTCTTTGATACCTGGATCTGGAGAAATTATCAACAGTGATAACCTTATCAAGTATGTTTGCAAAGTTTCTACAAGTTCAATAGTTCTGTATTTTTAATGTAGACTTTTTTTAAAGTCTTTCTCTCTACAACCATTAATAGAGGCCTGAATTGTTACTACAATTTGCAGTTCCTGTTGTGCTTTAGTTTATTTGCTAGTAACTTCACCTCAGAGCCACTCAGCATTTCTGTTCTGTAAGCCAATCCTTATCCTCTCATATTAGCAGAAGATGTAACTTGCTCTCTAGACTTGGGCTTTTTTGGTAGCATTCCTACTGTCCTTTAGAATATGACTTCTCAGACCATCTTTTTTTCTCTTAGAAATATATTAGTTATGGATTTTATTCCATTATATAATTAATCTGTAAAAATCAGGGGCAAGTCTGTATACATTTTCAAAGTACTTGCTTGTAATTTTGCATGCTTGGAGATTTCGTTGATGTACTTGTGATCAATTCATTCTTTGGAGTCTGAGGAATTGACATAGTATTACTACTTAAAGGTGTAAAATACAGCCAATTAAAAAAATCAAATAATCTTAATCTGGACAATGTGGAAAGCAGATAGGGAAGTAGAGGGGAAAGAGGAAGGAAGGGGGAAGAGAGATTATAGAGCTATTTTCATTCATTTAAAAAAAAGACAAGGGGGAGGTGAGCAGAGAAGTCATTCATTGCATGTTGTAGAACTAGTGAGATAAACCTCACTGCTAGGTTTAAAATGCCATGCATCCTTAAATGTACGTTTATATCCCCAAGATGTTTTGGAGATCAAAGGCTTAGAAGGATTTAAAAAAAATACAGGGGATAAAACCAACCTGTAGGTGTCGATGTTTAAAAGCTGAGGTACCTTTTTGGTTCAAGAACTTCCTTAGCTCCTTAAGGAAGCTTAGCTTAACTTAGTAGTTAATAGTTGGAAACTGGGAAAGTGAATGAAACACTGCTGAAATGTTTCCCAGTGCCTTAAATCTCTCAAATAAATACACAGTATTCACTTCTTTTAGACAATTGGGTTTTTTTTAACTTTGCTATACACACAGGTTTGATCATGTTCCATTGGTGACACCTAATGGAGATGTTTTGATTCAAGACCTTAACTTTGAGGTAAGTTTTTTAGTATCATAGGAAACAATATTAATATAAAGTTTTCCAGGGAAGATGATAGCTTCAAAGGTCATCATATTCATAAGAAAAGTGCAAACAAATTGTCATGTTAGTTTAAAAAAAAAAGGCCATAAGCTATTTTATGCAAAATTTTTGTTACAAGTGTATTTTCTTCAGCTGCAGTTGGTGCTAAACCAGTTGGGGAAAAAACCTAATTTTTTGCTGGAAATTGCTCACTGTAACGTCAGAAAGTTGTATACAAGCATATGATGATACCAGATTTTCTGAGTGTAGAAGCTTTCAGCAATAGTTCCTCACTACCATTTTATGTGTTGGCTTTGCAATTTTAGGTTCGATCTGGTGCAAATGTGCTGATTTGTGGGCCAAATGGGTGTGGGAAGAGCTCCCTGTTCCGTGTTCTTGGTGAGGTAAGGGAACATTATAAAACAAACAGGGGAGAATGCAAAGCATGATTGTAATTGGAATTTTTGTCAAATTGTAATCTTTTTCCTTTTACAGTTGTGGCCTTTGTTTGGTGGGCGTTTAACAAAGCCTGTAAGAGGAAAGTTGTTCTATGTTCCTCAGGTGAGACCAAGTACTTTACTCGACAATAATATTCTCTTTCTGAACATAATCAAAGTACAAAGAAATATTTGACATTTCTTTTTGGTTCTAATTGTATCTCAGAGACCATACATGACTCTTGGAACGCTCAGAGATCAAGTTATATATCCAGATACTTTGGAAGATCAGAAGAAGAAAGGGATTTCTGACCAGGTAAGGATAATTAGTTCATTAGCTCTTTGTCTTGCTCAGGATAGTAATGCTTCCAATTCAGAAATACTGAAACTGCTATGAAAAGCACTGCATTTAATAGGATTTTAGTATTTATCAGGGTTAATAATGTTATGGTATAATCCTTTATAGCTTTTTTCAACCACTTCTCTTTTAAGTTCATGTAAGCTTTATTTGTCATTCCTGTTTCCATAAAAGGTGCTGAAGGAGTACTTGGATAATGTCCAGCTGGGTCAAATCCTGGAACGTGAAGGAGGCTGGGACAGTGTTCAGGACTGGATGGATGTACTCAGCGGGGGAGAAAAACAGAGAATGGCAGTAAGTCTCAAAGGCAGAAATTCTTAACAAATGCAGAACATAAGTAAAAAATAAAATCTGAACTGTAAACTATTTTTATATATTAAGTAGTAGTATTTGACTTAGAAGAAACCCCTGAAATGTGAAATACCTTAATACTGAGAAAACAACTGACAATAGTGGGGGTTTTACTCAAAATTTGAAAGGAAATACTGGCTTTTAAGCATCCTTTCACCATGTCTTGTGCTTTCATTGTATAAACAGGATTTCTAAAATACTTGTCTTGAATAAAAGTATAAGATAATGTGCAACTTCTGGATTTTCAGGTTTCAGTGGGTACCAACTTAATTCCCTTTCCATAGTAGATTTTTGGACACTAATTCTTAGTTTGACTTCTAACACTGCACCATTGCTGGTAGTTCTGTATCCACAGTATCATTTTTTTGGCTTGCATTCCAGATGGCAAGGCTGTTCTATCATAAGCCCCAGTTTGCAATTCTGGATGAGTGCACCAGTGCTGTTAGTGTGGATGTAGAGGGCTACATTTACAGCCACTGCCGAAAGGTGAGCTCTTTGTTTCTGGAATTTCCTCTCTATACATTAACAGGAAACCTAAAATGGTACAAGGTTCACTCTTCCTTATGCCTAGTGCAGACTAAAAAAAAAAAAATCTGAAAAAATCTTAGAGGGGCATACAACTTTATGCACACTAAAATTCAGTATTCATTTTGTAGTTCTAGGATAATTTATGTGTGCATGTAGCCTCTATGATACACAGAGAGCTCTTACTAACTGCTAAGTAACCTTACTTTTCCAGATAGAACCTTAGAATGTCAAGTTAGGACCAAATAATCTAAAATTGTAGAATTTTTTTTGTTCAAAAGGCTTCTTTTGGCCGGGACAACTGAAGTGAAAGGCTGGAAGTTAACATTTCTATTCTGAGATCCGAAAAGCCAAGCACTCTAGGAAAATATGATGATGCTAAATATAGTTTCGTGTTTGCTTGTCCTCTTAAACTCACCATTTCAGATTCTCTGTAGTGCCATGTGGAATCAATAAGATTCAATTTCACACCTTAGTCTGGAAAAGAAAGGGCATGAAATGTCATTAGTTGTTGAGTAGCAGTATTCCAGAATGATAATGGAGCAAAGCTGTGCTTCCACTGAAATCTGTGCTTGAAAGGAAAGGAGCCCTGTGTAGTAGTGAATGGACATTAGGTGAGGACTCTGCAGAAGGAGCATTATTTCATGAACTGATTTTTCTCACATTGGTATCAATACCCTGACGATTTTTAAAGTCTATTTTCCATACACTTCTAATTCTATTAACTTGAATATTAATTTTGCTTGCCAAGTGGCTAATGCATGTTACCGAAAAATAGAGTTCCTGGTTAGGCTGTCCTTGCAGAAAGAAAAAATGTTACCTTGCTTTATCATCAGAGTCATTTTGTCCTTGCTGCTACTGTTGGGGATGAATTGTTGACTGAGTTGAAAGGAAACAAAGGAAGGTTATTCACTTTAAATTGTCACTCTAAGTATGTAATTCATTACAGCTTTTGTGGGTTTGGGATTTTTTTTTGGTGTTAGAATTGCTTTATTCAACGGCTCAATTGTTTTAGGCCTCCTACCTTGCCTCTTTTACTCTGTTAATTTTATGCTTGACAAATCTTTAGGAGCAAAAGAATAGTGAAATCAATTAAAATTATAAATCCCTCCTGATTGTTTCCCCCCCCCCCGCAAAATATTGTAATAAAAGCTATATATGTGTAGTGTTAATAATACTCTGAAAGTTTGTGGTTATGAATTTAAAATCTTCATCTGATGTAATACTGAAAAATAACACCTTAGCCATGAGAAGAATTAACTGTTTTGTGCATATTCTGTCATATAGGTTGGCATCACTCTCTTCACTGTTTCCCACAGGAAGTCACTCTGGAAACATCATGATGTATGTAATCTTCGCTTTATTAAGAATATTTGTGGGTTTTGTTGACTGACTGTATGAAATTGACTTGGTGATTTGAGGTGTTGTCATTTTACATCCTAATATGTCATGTTTGGGTTTTTATAAGGTTTTACTTTTTATAATCCCATTTTACTCTTTGAAATATTGTAATGCTTTTAGTTACGAAAGAATGGTATCCAAAATTTTTATATATATCTATAAAATATGAGGGGCTTGCTAGATGCTTAAGTCTTCTTTCTTAGACTCAAAATAAATCCTTGAACTAGAATTCAGCAACTAGTAAACAGCATGGATTTTTTTGCTTTTGTTATATCTAATACATTTATACTTTTTCTAAGACTTGGACTTCTTTTATTGCAAACTAAGATTTTGCTGTTCTTCTTATGCAGACAGACTGTATGTGTGGATAAAAATACTGAATTAATACACAGGGACAAATCTGTGCCCTAAGTATATTGACATAAAACCCAAGAGAATACTGTTAAGCCTAGATGTGGCTGTTAGCAGACTGATGTATGATATGCAAAAATAAAATTTTACAGAGGCAGGTGGATTTAATGATGTGTGAGGTGAGAACAGCTTACTCTCTAAGATTTTGCTAAAACTTTTAAAATGTATTTTAAAGACTTTTAAAAGTACTTCAAAATATAATTTATTTAGGTCTTTATAGAGCTGGTAATTTTTAGGTGGTTAATAACATGTGTTGGTGTTTTTCAGTTCTACTTGCACATGGATGGCCGAGGAAACTATGAGTTCAAGAAAATAACTGAAGACACAGTTGAATTTGGATCTTAAAGTCATGAACTGAACTGCTAGAGATGGATGATTACAGGAAGTGTGTAGAATGTCAGACAATGTAACATAAAATTACTCAGCTTGTTAAGCATTTACTATTATGTAGGATATTGCTAATTGTGTATATGTTGGTTTAATTATTGATAGGTACTAAGAATGTCCTTATTCTTGTGGTTTAAAAACCTGCCTAAATTAAATTGGGCTTAAATTAGTGTAACCTGATTCATCCTGGGATGCAAACCATTTGAAATCGGCTGATTTGACTTTTGTAGACCTTCTTTCCCTTCAGTGAAAAGCCCTGTTAAAATTAGGGTTGCTACCTCTCTTGTTCCTGCACAGCAGTCTTGGATTTTTGCTCTGTTCTATGCATGTTTCAGAGAGATCTGGCACGGTGCAGGACATTGTCCCATCTTCTGATCTGTGCCCTGTTAAATGAAAGAGCCTTTTCCTTGTCCAAGCCTTGTGATGTAGCCAGTGTGCCCTTGCTGAAAAAGGATGAACTGAAACTAAAAGACAAAACTAATTCCTTCTAGTGTTAAAAAAAAAGGTTGTTGTTTGCTGAGATTTGGATTCATCTTTAACATCTGTCTGTCCATGCAGTTCTCTCTGCAGCTCAGCTCCCGTTCTCTCCCAGTTTAGCAAAAGCTTCATCCATCCTCCAGCCCAACTGTCCTTGTTCTGTCAGAGAAATATTATGGTAATGAAGAGTTGAGAGGAGGTTGAGGGAGCAAAGGACCAACTCACAAGAAAAAATGGGAGGGAAAGTGGTGATCCTTGTATCAAACAAGCTTGTGAATGCTTCTAGCTCTGAAGAAATGAATGACTCCCACAAGAAAAAACAGAGAAAATAATGTGGATCCAGTGATTCCTCAAATCAATAGAGGTTATAATGGGCTCAAAAATGTTAATCTGTGAAATAGCAGACAGTTGTTCTGTGTTCAGTCCTGCAATACAGCAGTTACTTTTTCCATCTTGCTCCTTTTCTCCCTCTTCAAAAAAACCTGATGATCTTACAGTTTTAGCTGCCCTTCAGGTCTGAGTTTGAAAGCAAGTGATAATGGTACTCTGTTGGGTCTTCCAGGCTGTGAAGCCTGAAGCAATGCTTTCATTCTTCATGTTTATTCTCTTATTGTCATGATGTTTCTTGATTTCCGATACAAATTATTTACCAGTGATTCTCTGTGTTTCGTAAGGATCTCCAGTCCTTGCTGGTTTTCTTGTTCCAGCTTCCAAATCCCCTTAAAGGAACCAAACTCTTACAATAGTTTATTGGAATTGTTTTTTCCATACAAATGATTACTGTGGTTATTGTTTGACTTTGACAAACATGAATGCAGCAAGGTGTTTTTTGTGATCAGGGAATAGGAAGGTGTAATTCAAACTGAATTGCTGTTTAGGCTTTAAAACAAAAAAAATTACAATACCTGTTGTACAGTGAAGGTCTAGTAGTTTTTTGGTGTTCCATGTAAGATATACTATAGGAATGCACTACATGAAGGCATGCATAAAATATGCAATACATCTGTACTTTGTGCATCTTTTATCGAGGGTTTAGATTTTAAAAAGCCCCTACTTTTTATAAAATGAATATGTACTTGGATGCACTGCTGTTTGTTAATTTTTACCCAGTTCAATCAGTAATTTTCTTTCATGTTGAAATTGCTGCCTGTTAATATTTTTTCCTTTTACCATAGTTCTTGCCCCTACCTGTCAGTATTCTTTCAAGTACTCAAATGCAAACAGCTATCCTGGTACAAGAATCTAGTGACCACAGTAGAGTCAGAATCTAATGCATCAATGAAGATCATAAAAGCTTCTCTTAGAAGTATAGCATATTCAAGAGATTAAGGTACCAGAAAAATTTTTGTGCTTGTTTTACAAGAAGGCAGATAGGTGCCTGAAATCACTAATATCTTGTTTCTGTTCATTCAGATTCTCACCTCAGCCATAACGTAGCAGGTAGCAGCATGCTGTGTGTGAGGTTGTAGTCCTTTCAAAGTGTAACCATGGAAATAGGGATGCCAGGTTGTTGTGTAGGGAGGTTTTTTGGTTTGGGTTTTGGTTTTTTTTGTGGACGTTCTCAGCACAAATGCAACTTCTTCTCTTGGAAAGGGATGTTTTAGTAGTCTTTTAGAGAGATAAAGAAAAGGTTAATCTCTAAACTGAGAAAATTGCTATGATCTTTGTGATTAGGGCAGTCTTTTGCAGTGGGGTAGTGAACTTGGAATACTTTAATGTATTTTTAATGCTAACAAGCAAAACCATACACAGCACACTTACATTGTCCCCAGCAGCCAATCCCAATTGTACTTTACAATTTTACTGGTTGTAACAGAATTTTGTGTAATCTTGTATTTATTTTTAAAACTAACAACAAGCAAACAAAAAATCCATCTCCAAAACCACGGAGGAATAGGTTTGCCTTTAGGTGCCATGAAGTTTGTTGAAACTGAGGATGCTGGTATCTCCTTAGGGCCAGGACTTGGTGTTTCTAAATATACTGGAAGGAAAGAAAAATATTCTTTTGTGCTTGATTGTAAGGGAGGCTTATAAAGAAAATATTAAAAAGAATGCTATTTTAGAATTTTATTCTTAAAAGGCCTTATATTAAAGTGTTTGAGATAGACTTGATCTAATGAGAGATTGTAAAAAAATCTAATGAAAATGATCGAAGTCTCAGTTCTGTTGCAGAATTGCACTGTGATTTTAGTTGTTTCTTTCATAGCACAAGTTGGAAGTTCATGAAATGGAATTCTGAACTATCGTAATAGACAACATACTGATGAATACTTTCAGTCTCAAATTGTTGGTGCTTTGAAGATGGTACTGGAAATAGTCAGATGGCTGCATTTCAACGGTGGGAAACATTCCTGTGTGTAAATACTGTAAAGTGTTTTGGAGGGGGAATGGCGCTATGTAAATGTAAGACATTAAGTGCCTCTGAAATAATAATAAAAAATCTAAAGATAAAATATATCTAGACTTTTCATGTCTCTTCATGATGTGATTAGGAATTCTAATGCATATGCAACAAATGCTGAGTTGCTCAATGAGCCGATTGTCTTGTGTTCAGCTTTGAAGATCTGCAGTGCCCTGGAAATTTGCCCTGGAATCAGCCAAGTGATGCCATCTGGTTTAGACTTAACCAAGTACATGAGCTCAGTTCTTGAAGACAGGTACTTAGAGCAATGAGATTATAGATTCATTAATCTGCTCTAAGTCTGCCCTGAGGTTGGCTGTAGTGTGGTGCTAATAATGTTCAAGCCATTGACCTAAGAGCTGGACTCGATGATCCTTGTGGGTCCCTTCCGGCTCAGAATATTCTGTGATCCTGGCCTCTCTCTCCTTTGTCTCCTGGCCACTTCTTTTCCCTTTGTTGGTTTTAGAAGGGCCTGAATAAGATTAACACAATATCAGCATATGATTCTTTTGAGTGGCTCCTTAATCTTTGTACTTGGAGGATAATAAGTTAATATTTTTTCACCTTTATTGTATTTGTAATTTGTCGTTGTTTTCCTTTGTTGTGGTAGACATACCAGCTATCAGGATACTTGAAACACAGTAGTGTAAAAGTGCAGCCAAGATATGCTGGAATTAACTTATTTTTAAATGATCAGTGTTTTCTAATGCTAACTAGTATGGATTTTTCCTTTTCTTAACTGAGATGAGTTGTGCAACAAGTGTATTGTAAAGCATTCTTAAAGGGTAGAGTTCTCTTTGCAGGAAAATGTCTCAACCAAGAATGCAGTCTTACAAATCAAAGTGTTGTTCCATTAGGTTGATGAGTTAGAGAGGAGGAAAGAAAGGAACTTCTGTGTTCTGTGGAGGGGATGTTTAATACACACATTTATTATGTTAAAATACATTATTAAAATTTAAATTTAACTGTCGTTGATCATTACCATGAATGTTTCTATGGATATCTCACGGTACCATCTGAAATCCCACTGCAAAAAATAGTGGGGTGAAAAGGTTGCCTAGATTTTATAGAGAAAATAAACCACAACTTTTTTCTGTCAAGAAAATCAACAGTGTGCAAGTTCAATATTCTGTTTACAAAGCTGCTGTTCGATGCAGTTATTTCTATGTATGATCTATTTGCTTCTTTATTAGATGTACATGGCCAGATGGTTTGTGCCAGTCCCTTTCCTGAGCATGGAAAGAGGTTTCTTGATTTTGCTAATGAAGGATGTGCAGCTGTGTCAGGAAGAGGTGGGTTGGTTGGTTTTCCTTTCACTTGTTGTGATTCAAGGCTCTTGCCAGTGGTCTGGACACAGATTTTTATTATAATGCCTGAAACTTCACTGGGAAGTTTAGAGTGGCTGTGCTCATTGCAGGTTCCTATGTTACTTTGTATGTTCTGATGAAACCCATCCTGTCATGTGTATTCAAAGAAAGGATGAAACTGGTTTTATTCAACCCAAACCGTTCTATCATTCATCTTGAAACAGAAATATAGCCAAATCAGATTATTATGAAAGCAGCTTGTCTTTCATGTTAAAAATCTTAGAAAAAAATGTTATCTTCAAAGCCTTCTTTGAATTTCTGCATCATTTTCTTTCCTTTCAAAAGCAAAATCAGGTGACAAGCAGCCTGGAACTTTACAGACAGAAGCTGTTTTAAGGGAGTGATTTGGAAAACACAGTAAATTCAGGGATTAAAGAGGAATAATATGCCTAAGCAAATTCCCTGGGGATTGACTTGGGCAGCTGAAGAAATTTTGTCAGTAATCCTGCAATGAATGCTACAATGCAAGAATAATCATCCAGTTGGCATTTTAAAATGGGAGAGAAGGGAAACTCAGACAATCTACTTATGTAAAATATGTCTTTCACAAACCAGGCTTAATCACAATCTCTTACACTGCTTAGAACCTCTTAGTGACCTTTGTCAAGTCTGAACCATAAAGATTGGACACGATTGCTTTTACTGGTGAAAGGAGCACATTTGTAGTGCCCAGCCCTATTCCCTGCTCTGCTTGTCCACAAACCAACATCCTTTATTTCCCACCCATTCCTCATTGTGGGAAATAAGTCATCTACACATGATGCTGAACCAAAATAGAGCAGAACTGGAAAAATGAAGTCAAATCTGTCTAGACCAAAAAAAAAAAAAAGTGCTGAGACTGGTTTACTTGGGTAGAAATAGGGAACTCCACCCACGTGACTAAGCGAATTTTCTCCATTAAAATGGTTTAAAAGTCTGGCACAAATCAAAGCTAATTTTTAAAGGTCGATTATCAAAAGTTTGAGGGATGCTGCTCTGAAAGAAACACTTAATGTGTGCAATTGAAGAGGCATTCTATGTAACCAAATATACCCTTAATCTCCTCATCCTGAGTGGTTTAGTGCAAGTAGGTCCTAGAAAACAATTGACTACTTTTAATCACTGTGAATCATGACAAGTGTAGAGGTGCTCCCCAAAATAAGCTAACCTTTATTTATTTACTTAATTGTATTTTACTGCAGGAATGTGTTGGCACAAAAGCAACAGCTAAACACAGCAATTGATGGGACAGATGTGGTAGCACACTGAGAGATGAAGTATCTATAGAGGGGTTAATGTGTTGGGAAAAAAGAATGGTTAAAAAGCAAAGCATGTGTGCCAGAGGCTTCTTAAAACTTAGATGCAATATATATTGCAACAAGCCTTCTCTGAAAAGCCAGGAGCTATTTGCAAAAACTTTTTGGAACATAGTATGGAATTAAGGGCCAAGGTCAAATCTACTCCACCCACCAATGCAAGCTATATTAAGAAAAAAGCTTTCGTTTTTTTTCAATTGTGGAATTGATTGTATTTACAATAGTTCTATGTAGAAAGTTTTAGAAAGGTTACTTGAGGTTGGATGTGCAAATTCTCTTTATGCTTAGGCTGTTAGCTCTGTAAACTGCCCCTCAGGTCCTGGGGTGCCTCATGCTGGTGGTATGGAAGGTACTGGAGTGGGGATGTGTGTGGCAGGCAGTTCCTGCATGCACCATGTATTTTGCCGTCTCCAAGTTTGTTCTGTAGGCACCTGCTTGAGAGACAGGTACAGAAGAGCAGCCTCTCACCTGGGACCTGTTTTGACTTCTTGTGCCTATCACTGGCTGTGGAATGGAAAGTAATTTTTTTCAAAAGGTGTTTTTGGGGTTGCTTTTTCAAGACAGGGTCAGCAGAACTCAAAGCACATATGGCCCAAAATAGCCCTGGTTTCAAACACAGCTCCCTTCCAGCTATTCCTGTCCATGCCTTTCTTTTCCTTGCCACTGGATAGCATGTTATCACAGTTCCAAACATAGCTTGTACTTAACATAATTCACAGGGCTTTACAGCTCAACTTATGTACAGCAATACTAAAACATTTTCCAGTACTTGTAGAAGACCTCAGTTCTTTCTGTGAGGTACTTAGTCCATTCCTCTAAGAGTTAAAAGGGCAGTAACAGGACTCTGTTTTCTGTTTGAAGGATATTCAGGAAAGAAAGTCTGGTAAGAAGCTTAACAGTCAGCATGAAAATCTAATTCTGACCTATTCCTGAGTTTCTGAGACTAAAGAAGTGTGCCAGGAGAATGGAGTATGGTTTTGTGCAGGCTTCAACACCAACATGCAAACAATAGGTAAGTACTGATGGATTGTTAACTGGGGCTTTGTTTCCAGCAGTGTTTGAATAGTGGACAACACAGGACATGTTACATCCCAAGATTCCTGGAGAAGCTGTCAGAGAGAAGCACTGAATAGGACATGGGAGGTGTTTGGGAGAAGGGAGCTGTTGCTATCCTTAATATCAGATCTTATTGAGCTGTTGAGATTCTCAACAACTTTTCATTTTCATTATTAGAAAAGGGAGGATCTAATACATTTCTTGTGCCCTTGGTGAAATCTGGATTCAGACTGGATCTCAGTGTGTTAGTCATTTAGGAACATTCGGATTGTTAATGTGCTGATTACGCCCTTTTTTACCACTTGGTGTCACCTTTTCCAGGCACACGAGGCACAGGCTGCAGAGCGGTGGAAGTGCCTGCAGGGCTGCTGCTCCGACAAGGGGAGGAGGAAGGAGCTGCTGCGAGGGGAGGGAGGAGCAGGTGTGATGTCCACGGAGTCCAGGAGTGGCTCCTGCAGCACGGACACGGGTGTGGTGGCACCTGGGTGCTTTCTGGAAGCAAGTGATCGTGTTAAGAATCAAGTGGAAAGTTGGGAAATCAGACTGAGTATTATCTCTGTGGAGCTGTACATCCATGGAATGGATGGTAAAGTATGAAGGCAACAGAGGGAAAACTTTTCGTTTTAATCAGGGATAATAAAAAAATTAAAAAATAAAAAACCTCAACTAACAAATCCACATTTTTCCCTGGTATAATGAGTGCTTCCTATTGGAGTAGTTTTTAAAATCTCGTTTATCTTTCTAGCTCTTCTAGTACACTAGCTGTTTAATTGAGTTATGTAATTACTAAATAGCTAATTTAAAAATTACCATGTGATCTCATTGGGAAAATATTTCACTGTTGAAAGGGAGGTGAATTTTAATTAAACCTCTTTTAATATTTTTTTTTAATTTAATAATGTCAGTACTTTGCTACTTAAATATTTCTTGAAGTAATAAGAGAGAAAACTTGAAAATAAAGGTAGAAGAAAATGCATCAGGGAGTATAAATGAGATCTGGAACTGTAAAGATTCTTTAAGTTCATGTTAATAACTTCATTGCTATTTTAAACAAGACACTAAAAAATTACACTTAAATGTAATTAGGTGCAGTATGGTACTTGGAGCAGTGCTAGTGAATGTTCTGGAAGTTAGTGTCTCAATAATAGTGACCAAGGGGATCTGTAGAAGATAAAAAATAATGTTTCCATGCTATTAATGTGTCTTTGATTAAGGGATCAGGTTTAATATTTTGATTAAAATTAGATCCTGCCTAGCTGTCTGAAGAATTAAGGGCAGTGGGTTTATCTCTCATGAAGAATAAGTAATGGCAATAAGTAGGAGGTGGAGGAGTGGAAG